CGCGGGCCGGCAGCGGTAGCCGCCCGCAGCCCCGCGCCCGTTCCGGCGTGCTCAGAGGTCAGTCCCTCACCGCCGGTGGGAGCCCAGCTGCTGCCCGAAGGGGAAGTACAGAAATAAATTAGCAAATACCCCAAATGCCTTCTCCCTGATTCACCGTTTAGCACTGAGGGAGGCAAATGGCTGGCAGCTGCCTGAAGGAGCGTGACTCCCCCATCCTCACCATCACCCATGGGATCAGGAGGGAGAAAGTATTAAAGAAGGAGGTTTCTGAGGAAGACCAGCAAATACAAACATTTCATATGGTTGAAAAGAAAAATAGCGGCAAGGTCACCCCAACCTGGAGCAGTCAGTGAGGGGAGAGGGAGACCAGACCCCTGGCAGCTGCAGGGGGGTTTGTGGGAGCAGGAGTCGCCTGCTATTCCTGCCAGTGCCTGGTGCTCACCCAGAGACAGCTCCAAAACTTGGGGACACCTCTCACTGGAGGCTGCAAGACACCCTGGGCACCTTCCCCAGGGGGGCAAAAGGGGGGACCCCTTGCATGGACGCCCAGGGCTTTTTGACAGTCCAAACCAGCACCAGCTCCAGGGCCAAGCAGGTGCCACAAAATTGCATCGATTCCCTCCTCCCCACCCCCCATTCCCCCCCCGAAAAACATAAGATGGGAGGAGGATTTAAATTAAGCCAGGGATTATAGTAATACCAGCCTCGGTGATCTGTCAGAGGAGACAGGGAACAAGAGAAGCATAGGGGGGTGAGGAGGGGTGGCAGGGCGAGGGCCCGAGGGCACAGGGTGTTGGCAGTCTGGGACCAGAGGAGCCTGGGGAATATGGAGGTGCTCCTTGGGCATGTATTTGGGGCACCAACGTGTGTGCCAGCACCAGGGCCAGAAGCACAGGGTGCTGCTGGTGCAGGAGGCTGGAGCTTGCTCTGAACCAGTCCAGGTGCCTGCACCAGTCCTGTCATGGCCACGTGCTGCTGGGGCAGGCCTCCAAGCATGGCACACCTCCCCCTGCCAGCAACACTGTGCCATGCCCTGATGCCCTGGACCACCCTGGACAGGGCTGGCAAACATCAAAGCCTCAGGGGATGCTGCTTGCAGGGCTTAGGGAGGGCAGCATGTCCCTGCAGTGCAGCCAAGGACACCACAGGGCCAGTGGCCCCAGCTGACCGTGCTGGTGCTTAAGGGGCCCCTTCTTCCCCCAGGCTGAGCCACCGGTGCCAGGAGCCATTGGAGAGTCACCTGCCCATCTGAGCAGGGATATGCCTGGGCAGGTTTGGCTCCCAGCAGCTGTGCAGCTTGGCTGCCTCATTGAGCTGGGTGACAACCTGTTTGGCATCTGTAGCGGGTTGACCTTGGTTGGCTGCCAGGTGCCCACCAAGCTGCTCTATCACTCCCCCTCCTCAGCAGGACGGCTCCGAGAAAATGAGATGGAAGAGAACTTGTGGGTCAAGATAAAGGCAGTTTAATGAAGCAAAAGCAAAGGCCGCGTGCAGAAGCAAAGGAAAATAAAAGCTTGGTTCTCTACTTCCCATCAGCAGACAATGTCCAGACCCTTCCCGGGAAGCAGGGCTTCAGTACGTGTCGAAGTTGCTCCAGAAGACAAACATCATAATAACAAATGCCCCCCACTCCTCCTCCTTTCTCTTAGCTTTTATGGCTGAGCAGACCTCATATGGCATGGAACCTACCTTTGGTCAGTTTGGGTCAGCTGTCCTGGCTATGACCCCTCCTAGGACCTTGCCCACCCCCAGCCTACTGGCCTTTGGGGGTGAGGCAGGGGAACGCTGGAGAGCCAGGCTTGGTGCTGTGGGAGCTACTGCTCAGCAGTAGCCAAAACACTGGTGTGTGATCAAGACCCTTCTAGCTACCAACACAAAGCTCTGGGGGACATTCACTCCATCTCAGCCAGACCCAGTACCGTCTCCACCCCTTATTCTATACCATTTGCATTGTGCTCAGGTTCCATATAATTTAATACACATATATATATATATATCTTCTAACCATCGTACTGTATTTAATTCTCATTACTGAAATCACTTCCTATCAAAACTTAAAACTTACACAACTTAAACCATTTTTATATCCAACATACAGATTTATACATTCTCATTAACTACTATCCTCTGTCCTTTAACAGATAGATATTATTCTCCCATGCCTTGGGCTTCTTCCACTCCTCCAGATGTTCATAAGAACAGGCTATGACTTGTGCCCCATCTGTCAAGACAGGTGCTCAGGACTGAAGAAGCAGTAGGTTCGATTGTTGGGCACCAACGCCGGCTTGGCTTGGGTCATCGTTGCATTTGTCCGGTTCCTTGCGAAACTCATTCTTCATCAGTTCAGGTCGCTCCTGCTACATCACTTCCTACAACATAGAACTCACATCACAGATTATTTTTCCCCAGTCTTAAATGTCCTTGAGGCACACACTAGGTCTCCCCACACTTCCACATTATCCACCAAGTACACCCAGGTCCTTGAGTGAAAACAATCCCATGAATGGGTCTGCCTTTTCCCAAGGAAGGAGCAATCCACATTGCCTTCCCCAGCCACTTCCCTGTATGCACTACAGGGACTTCATCTCCTCCCACAGCATGTAGGGGTTTTATTTGGGCAGGACCAGCAAGGTTAGCAGATCCTTTGGTGTTAAGCAGCCAAGTGGCTTCTGCTAAATTTATATCCCAGAGCTTCCATGCCCCATTGCCCAACACTCTCAACATAGTCTTTAACAGTCCATTATATCTCTCAATCTTTCCGGAGGCTTGTGGGTGATAGGGGGTGTGATACACCCACTCAATGCTGTGTTTCTTGGTCCAAGAGTTTATGACGTTATTTCAGAAGCGAGTCTCATTGTCTGATTCAATTCTTTCTGGTGTACCATGTCACCATAAAATTTGCCTTTCAAGGCCTAAGATGGTGTTTTGGGCAGTGGTGTTGTTTACAGGGTATGTTTCTGGCCAAACAGTTGTTGCTTCCACCACGGTGAGTATGAGTAACAACTCATTCTGGGTGTACTCTCCAAGCAAGCAGGGGAAAAGAAGATCATCAGGAGTACCCAGCATGGATTCACTAAGGGGAAATCATGCCTGACCAATCTGATAGCCTTCTATGATGGCATGATCAGCTGAGTAGACGAGGGGAGAGTGGTGGATGTTGTCTACCTTGACTTCAGCAAGGCTTTTGATACTGTCTCCGATAACATCCTCATAGGGAAGCTCAAGAAGTGTGGGTTGGATGAGTGGACAGTGTGGTGGATTGGGAACTGGGTGAACGACAGGGCTCAGAGGGTTCTGATCAGCGGGGCAGAGTCCAGTTGGAGGCCAGTAGTTAGTGGAGTTCCCCAGGGCTCAGTACTCGGCCCAGTCTTGTTCAACTTGTTCATCAACGACCTGGATGAGGGGACAGAGTGTACCATCAGCAAGTTTGCTGATGACACAAAACTGGGAGGAGTGGCTGATACACCGGAACGCTGCGCTGCCATTCAGCGGGACCTGGACAGGCTGGAGAGTTGGGCGGAGAGGAATCTGATGAAGTTCAACAAGGGCAAGTGTCAAGTGCTGCACCTAGGGAGGTCAAACCCCATGCACCAGTACAGGCTGGGGGCTGACCTGCTGGAAAGCAGCTCTGCTGAGAGGGACCTGGGAGTCCTGGTGGATGACAAGCTGACCATGAGCCAGCACCCCAGTTCAAGAAAGATGAGGAACTCCTAGAAAGAGTCCAGAGGAGAGCAACTAGGATGATAAAGGGACTGGAGCATCTCCCCTACGAGGAAAGGCTGCAAGAGTTGGGCATGTTCAGCCTGAAGAAGAGAAGACTGAGAGGGTGCCTCATCAACACATGCAAATATCTTAAGGGTGGAAGTCACAAGGATGGAGCCAGACTCTTCTCAGTGGTGCCCAGCAACAGGACAAGGGGCAATGGGTACAAACTGAAACATAAGAGGCTTCAGTTGAATATGAGGAAAAACTTCTTTACTTTGAGGGTGACAGAGCACTGGAACAGGCTGCCCGGGGGGGTTGTGGAGTCTGCTTCTCTGGAGATATTCAAAGCCCGCCTGGATGAAGTCCTGTGTAACATGCTTTAGGAGAACCTGCTTTAGCATGGGGGTTGGACTAGATGATCTCCCAA